GAGTTTATTTCTAAAATATGCGCGCAAATGTTAGCAAAAGCTGTGCGCAAACGTAACGATTTTTGCGCACACATGTAATGGTGATGAGCGCAAGTGTAAAATTGGAAACTACATTCCTCTTTTTCATCTGACACAAGCATGATGGGGAAAGGTTGATGCTTTTGGCTGTATATAAATGTATTAATGTTTTGTGTTTTTTTATATTAAATGATTTTGTTATGTTATGTTGAGAAAGCGCAAATGTCCTATTGAAAAAGCGCAAATGTCCTTTTTTAAAAAGTGCAAATTTCCTAAACATTTAAGCGCAAATGTCCATTAAAAAGTGCAAGTGTCCAATCAAAAAGCGCAATCGTCCCGCGCCGGACCAGCCTTAATAATCAGAAAACAATATTTCTTTTACCAATTGATATATCTTCAGGTTGCATTTCTGTAAATATTGACAATGCAATTTTCCATAGGAACTCCTTTTACGGCTAAAACTGCACCACTTTTACTATGAAGTTTTGAAAAAAATCATATCCTAGAATGGAAAGTTCATATGCACTACAATTTTTTTCAACGGTCAAAATATAGGGCTGTGCGGCATATTTTCAACGTTTATATGCCCCGAACTTCTAAGAGTTTAAACTAACACTAAATTTCTTAACTATCCCTACCTTGACTGTAGGATTACCACATATTTCAATATAAACAATATGCATATGTATATTTACTGGTAACATTCCCAAGTTATGTCTCTACGAGATGAAACATAGAGATCATAACTGGGAACCAGTATGTAAACAAAATTAATTATCTATGAATATTCTATTCCCAAAAGGGGCGTGGTTTCAGAAACAGCTTTATTTACAAAGTGCAACCTATACAAACATTTATTCCAATAGAAAACTCTCTAAAAACACTTTTTCTCACATTAATACTTATTTATCAGAATTATAGCCTTAAAGAAATTACTGCATAAACTCTAAGTTTTCTTTAACTGTACATTTTATACCTCCTCCCCTGTTTCAATTTTTTTAAAGAATTTGAAAACAAGACTTTAATTATTGCCATCTTACCCTATTTGCATGTTTTCTGACATGAAATGCCTAGAACCTGTTTAAAACTGTTCTGATAACATATCAAAAGCATTTCAGAATACTGTAAACGTAATGTTTAGCAGTTAATCATTCCAAAATTCAAGATTAAATTAAGTATCCAATCCTGCCTGTGTCTCCAGTCCTCATTTTACTGTATGCCTATTTGTCAATGAAAGTTCACAATTTCTGCCTCAAATGGTCAGTTTAGAATTCTTGTCACAACAGTATCGTCTCTAACCATATATCTGACATAATTTAACTAATATATGAGCTAGAAGTGTTAAAACAAAGCCATATTAGCAATAGTTGTATGCATGCAGATACCAGTCTGATGTATAAATTCACTTAAAATTTTATAGGAATAACTGCTAACATCTGATTTTTGCATAACTTCCAAGCACAGTTATTGTTTTCTGTATAAAGACCTTTAAAATCATAAAATCATAGCATTTACAAATTAAATTATTTGTTTTATGACCCAGGGGGTAGGCAATTTTCTCTGTTTTTTGCCCCTGGGGCCTCAAATTTCCTTAATTATTCTGGTGTTTCTAGCAATATGGAGTAATAAGTACATATTCAGGATAGAACACACTATTGTAAGTTTTGTTGAGATATTTTTGTATTTCTAGCTTGTATTTTTTATGCCGCAGTGACAAAAAGGCAGATTTAGGCGTTACGGCTTACTTTTGGGTTATCGACAGGACAAAAACACCCCACCTATAATATTCAGGAAGGATCTATGAGTTTCAATGACTGCGGAGAGTATATATAAGCACTTCTAAACAATTTAACTTACAAATATGCATATATTATGAATTTATTTTGCATTCAGGGCTTTAAGTAAAACTATGCATACTGTAAACTGTGAGTTTATTCGTTAAAATCTGTGAGATAAACCAAATTTGGATAAATTCTGTATGTTCTCTTTTTTTCACCCAATATAAGTTGCATTTCTGTAAATATTGACAATGCAATTTCCCATAGGAACTCCTTTTACGGCTAAAACTGTACCACTTTTACTATGAAGTTTTGAAAAAAATCATATCCTAGAATGGAAAGTTCATATGCACTACAATTTTTTTTTACAAAATAGGGCTGTGTGGCATATTTTCAACATTTACATGCCCTGAACTTCTAAGAGTTTAAACTAACACTAAATTTCTTAACTATCACTTCCTTGACTGTAGGATTACCACATATTTCAATGGAAACAATATGCATATGTATATTTACTGGTAACATTCCCAAGTTATGTCTCTATGAGATGAAACATAGAGATCATAACTGGGAACCAGTATGTTAACAAAATTAATTATCTATGAATATTCTAGGCGTGTTTTGAGAAACAGCTGTATTTATAAAGTGCAACTTTCAACTTTCAACTAGTTGAAACGTGTAATTATTTTAATAAGAATGGACGTTAATGCTTTCATTTTTTTCACTTTCTTTAAATTCAACACTCTTCATGCAAAGTTATTAAAATAACTAAAAACGTGTCTCGATAAGTAGATCTTCAAGAAAAAATGACCTTCAGGAGCGTTAATTTTTGAAAAAGTAAAAGTATATATGTATCTGTAATGCTTCATGCATCCGCCTTGAAATATATGCATGTGTACGTTTTTTTGTTTTTTGTTTTTTTGTATTTTGTATAAGGAATGTTACCTACAGTTATAAGGAGTATCGTTCATGCGTACAATGTATGACAATATTGACTACTTTATTGTTTTTTTCATGGCTGCGCTGACATAAACTAATCAAAGTACTGAAGAACTGAACATCGGATGTGCGCAAGTTCTGATGGATGGTCTCAGAAAAAAAAAATCATATCTCTATACCTGAAAGTTAGGTTAAGGTATATATATATATAATTTATTCTGAGACAAATGTGGGTGATGAATAAATAACAGAGAATTTAACCTCACCGTAATAGTTATTACATTGTAGTAATATAACAATTTGTTATCAGTATAATCTGGTTTGTTGTTAACAGTTATATATTATATTAATATTTGTATAACAGTTATATATATAGCAGATCATCCCTCGATATATTCTTCCGCATGCGTTAACAAATTTTCGGTATTCATGATTTGTTACTGATATATATATTTCTCACGACAAAACATTTTCATATCATTTATGTTCTTAAAAACTATTTTCAGGAGTATTCATGGAAGAGGTGAATTTATAACATACGTCATTGTACCAACTTAGTGGGGAAATTACCAATCAACATACCTCGCGATCGATTGTGCATGATGCCCAGCTTGAACTGTAATTTAGCCGATTAGGTGCTATTCTCAATCTTAAATTTGTATAAGAAATCAAAACTTATGAAGGACAGAACATAGGACTGGCATTGCTATAAGGCACCTAGTCGCTTTGGTATTATAAGATAATCAGATCCAATGGCATTGAACGATTATAGCCCTATTCTCAAACAAAACAGAACCGGAATGAGTCATGCAAATCCAATATTTACTATACCAATAAAAAATATACATTACCATATAATTAAATAATGAGTTGAACATTTTCGTAGCATCAGATCTTTCACGACCTTCAGAAAGCAGTACACGATCTTTTACGATCCAAAAAATCATATTTTTGTAAATATGACAATTTTTTTCAACATTTCTGTTTATTCTAACACAAAACAACTGTAAGAACCATTTGAATCATTAAAATGGAATGACATTTTTCAAAGAAAATTTGGTTAGTCATTCAAATTAGGAAAAAAATCTTGTTTCTTTTCATATTTTATGTCATTGAAATGTCGGGGAGCAATCTACCTTTTGTAGTTTTGTAAGAACGGTTTACTTTTAAACCTTGATCTTTCTCAGATACTGATCATTATGTTGAACCATTTTGACAGACAGTTTTATTTTTTTGTAAATTTGTCCGTATAATTCATTATGTTAGATTAGTAATTGACCTTGCATATGTATTCTCGATAAGATTGAATTCACGATCCTATACCTGAGCCTTCACGATCAAATCGTAATACTTGACCACCGTTAGTTATTCTTTCACGATCTTTTTTCTCGATATACCGAATGAAACCCGTGTATTAGGAATATTCAAATACATACATACTATACAATTTCCAAGCATCCGGTCCTGATATCGTGAGATAGTTTAACTTTTTATCGAAGTATTTATACAAAATGATTACTGTTTTTTGAACATCGGTAAACTACTGTTGCGTTTTATTCATCAGCATAGGTAGTTACAACAGCAGAAAGTGCACTGCAAAATTCAGTTGCTGAGTTTTTAATTTTCTAAAAGAAAAAATGTATATGAATGTCATTTATCTAGAGCATGCTAAGCGTTAAAATGTTTCCAGATACTTAGTTTTATCTGCACTCAGAGTAAATTTTGAGGTGAAAATGCAGCCATTTTAGCCAAAGGGTCCACATATACCTTTATATATTCTTACAAAATATGATAATTATTTTTTATCAATTTAATATATTTGCCATATAAAAAGACACTTCATGAAGGATGTCTTGCGCATTACTTGACACATGAGGCGACTTGCATCGTAATGTAAATCACCACGGAACACTCTTTATTTACTATTCCTTATTTTGTTTGTACAAACATGAGCAACACGACGGTCGCCACATGTGGAGCAGGATCTGCCTACCCTTCCGGAGCAAATGTGATCACACCTGGCTTTAGGTGTGGTTCGTGTTGCTCAGTTGTATGTTTACTATGTTGAGTTTTGTGTACTGTTGTTTGTCTGTTTGTCTTTATCGTTTTTAGCCATGGTGTTGTCAGTTTTTTTTCTACTTATGAGTTTGAATGTCCCTTTAGTATCTTTCGCCTCTCTTTTAGAATAAAACATACAGTAACATAACAACTAGGTGTTTTTATAAAACAAAAAACTGTTTTGATAATGATTCACATTGTTTTCAGTTTCAGTGGCTGGATTGAAGTGTTTTAACTGTGAAAACCACGTTAACCCTGCCTGTGGGGTTTATTTCAAGGCATATCAGTTCAAAGCCGATCAATGTCCGGGAACAGATGTAAAATGTGCCTTGCAACGACAAACTGACAAAGGTAATATATAAAAGTTGCTTATTTCAAACTACCGACAAATGAAGCAATAATAATTCAGACAATCTATTACAATCTTTTTTTAATAGATATCATATGCAAAAATTGCTTTAACATACGTCTGTTGCTAATATATACGTTTCAATGCAAAGATGACAAATAACATGAATAACGCTATTTTGACTGTTTGAAATGTGTTTTGCTATACTGAAATTATAATTGCTTGAAACAAATACGTTGAACAAAGGTAAAACAAATACTGGTATCTGGCAGACTTATATTGATACAATGTTGGTTGAAAGTTTATGTTGTATAATTTCAATGGTCTAAAAGTGGCCATGTCAAACTCCCTTTCTTGTCGACATATATAAATTACGTGGAAGCTTAATTAATCGTTAGGAGATCAATTGTAAAAAATAATATATTGGTCAATTATGTCACGAATTCGTCACTTAAAATTGATAAAAAACGTTTTAATCGCTACAAAACAAAAAACCTGTTTACAAGTAATGAAAACACTTCCAAAATTTGTACAATAATTTGCATCATTTCTACCAGTGAGAAATCAAGTAACGGTTTCATCCTGTGTCTATGAAATTAAATTGAAGTCAAAATGTAAATTACATACAAATCAATAGTCCTTATACGGGAATCCATGCATTATCATATTAAATTGTCTTGTTTTTCTACATGGTATATCAAAGCCCTATCATCGTTCCAGGTTTAGTGAATAAAGATCTGTAGAAATTTACATTCTACATGGACAATTTGAAATACCATTGTACAATAAATATATGACCATCCATTTATTAATATACAATTTTAAATACCATTGTACAATAAATTTATGACCATCCATTTATTAAACAAAATGATATATAAATCTGAAATGCTAAGATGAGAAAAGAAAACTGTTGATGAACATAATGAAAGCAAACAAAAACTAAATCAAAATTCAATGTTATACACTACGAGGTGTTAAATATTTTTGATAAATAAGTATCTGCAATTGAATGTATTTTTATTTACCGAAAAGTCACTGAATTCCACGGCAAAAGTAATTTATCGATGTTTAAATCTCATAAATCATGCAGCATGTGCCTGAAGATACAATCTAGGTTCAACACAAAAATGAGGGGATAGCATGAACTCATAAAGGGGTGAGATTGATGCCTTGACAAAATAAGCGTCTCTTGCTATGTATGCATCATCTTCTTCACCTGTTTTGTAAGAAGCACACTCGACAAGTTACTCAGCCTTCCAGTGGTATCATCTGTTTCAGACGCATATGTATTCAATCTCTCAATTTACAGGTATTTATAAGTTGGGGCAGATATTGAATGTGAACCATCTTTCTTTTAAGATGTATCGACGAGTATTTCATATATATCAAGTCTATCATTTTGATATAATTTCTGATTGAAGGCAAGCTTAAGATATTGAACTTGTAGAATACTTGGAGGAACTGATATGTCTTGTATATATAACTTGACTATTAGATTGTAAATTTCCGAAAGTAAAGAATGTGATTGTTTGTATATAACACTTATTATCATTTTTAGACGGATGGATAGGAATTGTCCGTGTATGTTATCAGCATGGATCTTTGCCAGGAATAAATGAAACTAATGGATGCAAAAATTGGACTAATGATATGATGGGATATACAGCCTATTACTGTTTTTGTGATACAGATTATTGCAATTCTTCATTAATCAACTCAGGTTTAGTAAAAGTTGTCATGGTTTTAATGTTGATGATATGGATAGTCAGCTAACTGCCAAACGCATAGGGTATTTGATAGTTACATCTTGGAAATGCCTTTTTCTCCGGAATACTTATTGAACGTTAGTCTCTAAATACCTAGTAATCTATCTAGAACAATACATTATACCAAAAACGACACTTTCTGAAATACTGTCAGATTTTTTCGTGACCTCATCTTGGTATGAATGTTGCACAAATTGATCACTCATATGTTTAAACATGAATTGTTATCTTTTGATAATTGAAATTGTCAATGAATGGAAATCTGTCATGTTTTAATCTTATCTGTCTCATATGTAACGTATTCTATATAAAAAAAGGGTATACAAGAGGGATAAAGAATTTATTACTTTTGACATTTTATTTATTCATTTCGATTGACGTATGAACATTATATTGTGTCTTATACTGTCACTTGCTTACCTCGGATGATCGACACACACCAAATGCTGATCATTGTAATGGTTTTACTTTTTTTTTTACTACAATAAAGCTGACACGTATTCTACATTTGAAATTGTCATCTGAAATAAGCGTGCAATGTCAATGCTTATGACCGAATAAACCTGATTAAACTTTGCTCAGGTAAGCTCATAACCTAAAGTGTGAGTTGTCTATATACATTACGAGTGTATGAATTGCAACTTTAGATACTTCTACAGAACGATTTCGTGAAGGTCAACTTTGCCCTAAGGAGATAGATGTTTTAGTTAAATTACGTAAACTAATATTTTACAATCGCTATTTTGTCTATATATTGTCCATTTAAGTAATATAAGGCTGAAATTGTATAACTGAAGCGCTGATTAATTGGCAACCTTGTAGAATAAAGGTAATACCGAGCCAGGATTAGAAATCAAATGATACTGATACATATTTTGGTAAAAACGATGAATTTTATTTCAATCCTTCAAAGAGACCAAATGACGAAAATGACGAAGATGTAAGCCACGACATGGCTTTAAAAAATGAACAAACCCCATACCGTATTACTCATCAATAAAAGGCGCTAACATGACAAAATGTAAAACAATTAAAACGAAAAGATTAAAACGTAGCTTGATTTATCACTACAAAAGTCTAAAAGTCTGAAAAGACCAGTTTTTGTCTTAATTTGCATGAACTTTTACTCGACATTCTCCAAAAGTATGACTTGTGTCTTAATTTTTCTTGACAAATTCTCATTTATATTAAATTTGTATGAAATTTACTCGACATATTCTCGACATTCTGAATATGGTCTTAAAATTTCTTGACAAATTCTTGACATTTGAATACTGTCTTGAAATGTCTCGACATATTCTCGACATTCTTAATTTTTTTTCAGTATGGCTTGACATATTCTGAACATTTTGAATCGTGTCTTAAATTTACTTGACAGTTCTGAGTTTTACAAATCATGACCAATATTCATGATAAAACTTTAATCTTTATTTCTCTTTATATGATATACTGTTGTTTCAAGTTACACTTCTTTACAACAAAAATAAAAGTTGGGCATGTAAAATAATTGAAAATTTGGGTATATACATATTTTTACAAATGCAAATATGGCTATGAAATCTAAAGTATAAAATAATTCAAATGTGGGTGTGTTGATATAAAACAACTTCAATGTGGGTTTTTAAATAACTACAAATTTTGATTCCTAAATCTTATAAATTAAATGATTCAAACCAATCATACTGTAGACATATTTCATTCTACATTCATAATATTCAATGTTGATATGGTAAATAATTATTATACCAAAATGTGGTTTATATAAATAGCAAATTATGATGATATACAAATCATTCATTTAACAGAAGAAAAAATTGTGTAATGTCATCTGTTGGAATATATTAGGTATTACACATGGACAGGATGTTCCCCATAAAATTAAGGTGTTCCACACCCCAGAGTACACGCAACTGTCAAATAGAAGTTATTGCTTTACCTGTAATCAGCCATACAACTTATCAGTTGACCGACCATGCCACTTCAATTTAAAAAGTTTGTTGATAGATGAAAATGAAGATCATCATTTTGATGAAAAAATTTTTAATTGAAATGGATTTTCTTCATCAAAATTATGAAGTTAATTATTTTAACATAAAAACAAATTGAATAATTCTTAAAGATTAAAAGAAAATTATTATCTACTCCAGGAATAATAAAAAAAATGTATTTATAATGGGTCCCATCAATGATTTCTATAGAAATAAAAATGAATAAGGTTTTTGAATCAAGATGGGAACAAATTCTTTGACCTAAACGAAAGCCCCCTCCCCCCCCCCCCCCCCCCCCCCCCTCTTTTTTTAGCCACACAAACCCAAAAGATGAATTGTGGGGTCCAAAAGAGATACAAGACACCTATTTTAGTAAATAGTATTTGAGTATTTGACTGGCAGTTTTGCGAACGGCAAAAATCTAAATGCTGTGTGTCAATACCTTCGACTTATATTCCAAGTGAAAACAATTACTTAAATGTTTAATAAAAATAAATCAAAATTAAACTACATGGGGATTATTCAGGTTATTCCAACTTAGTTGCACCAAAAGGGTATCTTACTATACCAAATTAATCCTTGATTCTTCAAAGTTTAGTTTAGCCATAATAAAAAGGAGTGTATAACAGCAATAGAATGTCATAAACAGTGCAGAATAAGTCTGTTCACATTTCAGGCGAAATTTATACTGTTGAGATAGTGTCAAGACATATTTAAGACTGTCAAGAATGTGTCGAGACATATTCAGACAATATTTAAAAAGAATATGTCAAGACAGATCGAGACAAATTTAAGACAGTCAAGAATTGGTCTAGACTCTTATCAGATGATACAGGAAGTGTCGAGAAATTTTAAGACAATGTTCATACTGTCAAGACACTTGTCAAGAAAAATCAAGAACCTTATTAGACAAATTCATACTATGTCAAGAATTTTTAAAACTTATTCAGACAAATTAAGAATGTCGAGTAAAAATTCATGCAAATTCAGACAAAAACTGGTCTTTTCAGACTTTTTGACTTTTGTAGTGTATGTACCAAAATATTGAAACGAAAGGCAAACATAATAAGCCAATTACAACAAATAAATTTCAAGCTCCAGATTTTAAACATTAACATATAGAATGTGGTGAGGTAGATCATGTTTGCAAGCGTTAGAGTCATGTTTTAACTATAATCTGAAAACTTTGAATATGAGAGGTGCTTGCGGAATTTTCTGCATTAGATGCACTTATTACCTGACATTTCTATGATTGAATAGTAAATGTCATACCACTGAGAGGTTTAGCTAGCTATAAAACTAGTTTAACCCTCTATTTTCGCTGGAAAAAGTCTGTACCAAGTCGGCAAAATGACAGTTGTTTTCAATTGGTTGATAGTGTCTAATGTTTGATTTTTACGAGTTTTCTGGATTCCCCCAGATCTAACTTACCTTGCAGTTTGGTTGTTTTGTTAATAAAAGAGAGACGGAGGATACCAAGGGGACATTTAAACTCATACGTCGATAATAAACTGACAGCGCCTTGGCTAAAAAAGAAAAAGACAAACAGACACACAACAGTACACAAAACAACAAAGAAACCCCAAAAAGAGAGCACACAAACAGAAATGGACGTCACACTAAACTCTGAAATATACAAATGAAATTTTTTTTTTCAAAACATACAAGACTAACAAAGGCCAGAGGTTCCCGACGTGGGACATGCACAAAATTGCGGAAGGGTTAAACATGTTTTGTGAGATCTCAACCCTCCCCTATACCTCTAGCCAATGTGGAATAAACACCAAACGCACAGTAACTCAGTTTACAAGAAGTCCGAATCCGATGTTAGAATAGGTTACAGAAGAAACTAAGCAAAATGACAATGATCAACATAAGTTAACAAAGGACTGCTAGCAGTTACTGACATGCCAGCTTAAACAACATTGCTTATTTGTATAAAAAAAACGTAGATTCTTTATTTCCGATTTTAGTCAAATTTCAATATGGAACAAAAATGTATTTTACTGCATATTAACATCAAAATACCTAAGACTATAAATGTTCTATGATGATATAAGACTTAAGGCCTAACGAAAAAAAGCAAACACAAATCTTTATATCAGTAGCAATTGTTTTATATTTCTTAACTGTATGCCAAGTTCTAAATCATATTGAGTGTAAGTCCTTTTTTGATGCGTTATTCTTCGTTGTTTTAGTGGAATTAGGTCAACGAGTGTCTGTCTGTCGATATATTTTTTTTTATTACTTTTACTCACAAAACATGTGTTACATATGAAGCAACACATCAATATGTAATGTTCTTAGCGATATTGTTATGTCTAATACATTTTTCAAAAATTATGAGCAGCTTTTATAGTTAATAAAGGGTTAGTGTGTGCAGTACGTACGGTTGTTGTTGTTATTGCTGTACATTTTCTTCAAAGAAAATCTACTGCACGCATAAAATACGGAGACAACATTACAATAAAAATAATTAACCGATTGATTTTAACTTGATGTATTAAATTGTTATGTGGCAATTTCATCATTGAAGAGTAGCAAATCTCGAAGTTAATGAGGTTTGTCATCTCTTTTGAATGGATAGAGAGACATGAAAACACTTTTATTTGCCACGACAGTTCACAGCGAATCTCGGTTAATTAAAAAAAAGAACCTTTTAACTGTAAGTATGAATGTGGAAAGTTATAAATTAGATTTAACGTAGCTCTGCCATAAACAAACAATATGGCCGAAAAACATGGCTATTTATTAATCAGTTGTACTTTTAGAAGAATGTGTTAAGCTGTGTTATACCCCGATGACGATAGAAAGGTTATATTAACCAGTTTGTGCGTCCGTATGTTCGTCCGATCTGTAGCAATTTGGTACTAGTTATGTAGACGAGACACATGTCTGGCATACAACATTATTATATCTTTGATGAGTTAGTTTCTAATGAGGTAGTAGTCATAGCAACTTCAAACGTATATTTTCTCATATTAATATTTTGGGGTTACGGTTGTTAAGCATGAATTTGTTGTCACATCAACTTGGCGCATATTACACATGTTCGTTATGGTATGAAAAATTGAAAGTCTATAAAACCTGACAAAACCAAACGCTCGATTATATCAAACAACAAAACAAATGGAGAAAAAAAACTAAAAACTGTCATATTTCTGAATTGGTACAGACACTTTCCGAAGAAAATGATAAGTTAAACCTAGTTTTATAGCTATCTTAAGATCCAACTCGCATGATAAAATTGTTGATATTTCCGTAATATTTCCACAATTGTATGAGCAACCCAAACGAACATAGTTGGTTTTTAAAAGTGACAATAATTGGGATCAAGCAGCCAAAATTGACTAAACTTTCATCATAGATATATAACAAAACTGATTTTTAAACATTTCAACCAAACATACATCTACAGGATTGTATTTTACGTCTTATTTTACACCAAATATGCATTAGACGACAACGTGCAAACTGAAATGTAGTTTATTTCTAAGGAAAAATTATTTGGCAAAAAAC